AAAAAAAAAAAAAAACAACGAAAGAAAAGAAAAGCACAGAAACATGTAAATTTAGATCTTAGCATTTTCATGGAAGTCATAATTTCGTTCCTCTGCTGCAAGACAAGAGAAGGCATCCATAACCCACAGAAAGAGGTCAGCTTAGATGATCCCCTTCCCTCAGGCCCCTTGAACTCCCCAAACTCCTTTCCAAAGCACCGTTAATATATATTGCATATCCGCAACTTGTCAGTTGCCACACAGGTTTCAATCCAGTTGATATCAACCAAAGAAAAGCTTATAGTTCATATTGTACCAATAGAAGTCTCGGATTTACTGAATTATATGTCTACACCAGGTCTTTTTTATGCAGCATATCTAGGTTATCCTCCGTTATATGATATTTCTGTAAACTCTGCTGTATTAGCAAGATATTGTCCTTGCTAGGCTTCTAGCTCTTCTGAATTGTCTAATTGGTTATCATTGACCATGAAGGCAGTATCTGCTTCAAGCCTTTGACTTGCAGCCAATATCTTGGTAATACATTTGCCTACAGCATTACAGTGGGATATAGGCCTAAAGTCTGGATTTTAGACATCAATGACTGTCCGTGCATAATTCTTGTGATTTTGCCTTCTCTCTCTTTACTGACTTCTTTGTGTACGACTCATTTCCCAGGTGTCAGATTAACCGAAACAATTCCTGAACTAACAGATAGAAAGGTTTTGAGAGATGTATTCAACTACTTTTTCGTAGGCAATACTGATGCTTGTGATTCCATGTTGATAATGTTTTTGCTCTATTAGCACAAGAGATTTGAGAATTTTTCAATGCAATGCTACATTTACCTTTGTTCGCCAAAGTATAACTTTCCTGCTACCAACTTTTTATAATTCCCTTGACCAAATTCATTGTCATTGATTTATCTCCTGCTGTATGCTTAATCAATCTTACTTGAGTAGATGTAGAATGGCTGAATCTCCATTATTCTCCAAATAAATGCATTTTCTTAGGAGGTTGTTTGCTTCTTGAGTGCAGAGCAGGCAATTTTCCTTGAACAATTATTTGTAGCATTTTTTCTGTTTACCTCCCTTTTTTCTGTCTTGAACAGGACGTGAAACTCTGTCATTTATTCTTTGTGTTATTATCATGACAAATGTTACTATCTTTTTCATGGTCTTGCGCATTTGATTTATTCCAGTCAAGCAAGCACACAACAGCAAAACCAGAATGATGCTGCTATGGAGTTGATTGATAGTGTCACAGGTGTTGATGATGAGGGTAGATCTCGCCAACGGATTCTTACATTTGCTGCAAGGAGGTAGGAATCTAATCTAAAATTATTGCGACTTTGCAATGCACATTATTCATTTACTTTTTGTCTGTAAATGTGAGTTAATGCTTTAAAGATTTCTATGCAAATTGCAATGTGCATAGAGCTTTTAAATTCATGTTGCATCATTTCTTTACTCCGTGTTTCTGACTTGAATTAATTTGTGTTAGATGTGCTCATTTTAGTGATTGATTGCTCACTAAACTCGAAGATAGCCAGTGAAGATGCATATCAAACTCCCCTTTGTTTAGTGGGTGCAGCTATTGATTTTTATCAAGTTTTGAGACATATTTATTGTTTCTTTCTGTTCAAACTTAGTTTCAGCACTAAGTTCCTTTGTCATAAATTAATTGCTCTCATTTCTAACTCTGACAGTAGAATTTAGTTTTATATCATTGCCATAAGATTATTGGAAGCATAGGCATAACTTTAACGAGTCAGGAACTATGTGATGCTAAGTGTTGTACTTCTTTCTTCACATATTTTGGTCTTCTTGTTCAAAGTCATGGTTGAATCATGATTAACTGCTTGAATTTGGTCCCTCTTCCTTGTTTCAATAGTACTTTCTTGCAGACTATTGGCTTCTTTGAAATAGATAAATTTTCTCTTGATATTAATAAAGTATTCAATCTTGCAATGAAATCTTTCTTCATGTACAATTAGTGGAAAGAATCTAGATATGTAGAGCTTCACGAACATATATTTGGGTCCTCAATATATCGATATTCACCCATGGCAATTATGCTTTTGACCACTCCTCTCAAGTTGAAGCACATTCATACTTCCCAGCTTTTTAAGAGCACAATAAACTTTTAAACCACATAATATGTTGGTGGAGAAAAGTAAGTTAGGTTGTGTGTCCTGAGTTTTATTCCTCATTCAATGAGAAAGTAACCCTTTTGACTATTTTCTTATGAAAATATCCTTTCAAAAGCTTACCAGTGTTGAGAGGAGGAGAATTTAGTTGCTACTGCTGGCACTGTTTTGCAGATATGCTAGTGCAATAGAGAGAAATCCAGATGATTATGATGCGCTGTACAATTGGGCACTTGTTCTTCAGGTACGAACTGTGATTTTAATAGAACTTTTGGCTATAATTATATGAAGGTTTTTGTTTTTCTCCTTCCATTTTGATTCACTCTATTTGCAAGAAATGCTCATGTATCATAGTATATCTTCCTCTAGCTATCTTGTACAGCTTAAAATTTTTGCATCTTGACCGCTTTTGAATGGAAAGAACATAATCCATGAAAATAACTGGTTGAAAATGAATGTCTTCTAACATGGCATTTAGGAATTCTCTCTATAGATATGCTCACAATTTATTCCGTTAATTCATGGAAAGTTTTGTTTTGAGTTGTATCTAAACAATCAGAAAGTGCGTACACATCCTTAAAATTTGGCTATGAATACAGGAAAGTGCGGATAATGTAAATCTTGAATCCAGTTCTCCTTCCAAGGATGCTTTGCTGGAAGAGGCTTGTAAAAAGTATGAAGATGCCACTCGTCTTTGCCCTACACTGAATGATGTACGTATTCAATGCTATGCTAAAAAAAGTGTATATAATTTACATGCAACTGCAATAGTCTGTTGCAGATGAAAATGGAAGGAATCTAATAATGCCGGCCTTTTACTTTTGTGCACCATAATAAATGAAGAGCCCGATCTAGGTTGTATCACGTCTCTAAATATATCAGTTTTTGTCCAAAAGATTGTGCAAATGCCATGTCCTTGTGCGGTTTGTTCACATATGAATCTACATACACTTGTGCAGCAGTACCTTTTCTTTGATGGAGGAAACTATGATGCAAGATAATTTATTGTCTGGACGATGCATGGAGGGCTTACTTCAGATTGGATCTGAGATTTACCTTGAGAAATTATTTTACAATGTGTATTCTTTTGTAACTACATTTATCAGATATTCACTTAAAATGACAATCTTAATCATATTGTTACAAATGTCAGGCATATTATAATTGGGCTATAGCAATCTCTGATCGGGCAAAAATGCGAGGTCGTACAAAGGAAGCTGAGGAATTTTGGAAGCAGGTTGAAGCTTTTCCTGAAATATACTTCAGATGCTATATGCTTATATAGTCTGACCTCCAAGTTTATGCCTTTTTTATATCATGATTTTTAACTCAGCTGGACATAGGGGACATGTCAAACTCAATTGAAGAATATAGCTAGTTTTAAATAAATTTCTTTCAAAGAAGACACAATATGCCAATTTGAAAAATGTTGTTTATTTGTGTATAATTTTCAGGCTACAAAGAATTATGAAAAGGCAGTTCAACTCAATTGGAACAGTCCTCAGGTAATAGTTTGAGTAATTACAATCTCAGAAACCCCAGAAATGGCCTCTTCTGCTGCAACTTTGGATCAGATGGTGAAAAATAGTCTCCAATGTTGCTTTTACAATTGCCAAAACTTCCATTTGGCTTCCAGTCTTTCTGTCTCTCATTGTATGGTCTTTCAACATTTATGAACCAATTCAAATTTTCTAACTATAATATATGTATCACTCACAATACAACACTTATTATATTCGCTTACTTTCATAGAATGTGCTACCTTTATCTCTCTCTCTCACTCTCTCTCGTTTCAACATTTATGAACTACTTCAAATTTTCTTATATTATATATGTATCACTCGCAATTAATATGACACTTCTCATAATCGCTTACTTTCATAGAATGTGCTACGCTCTTCTCTTCTCTTTTCCTTGTCTAACATGGAACAACATGATCTTTTTCCTTGATATTTTCCAACCGAGTGAGATTTTTTTTCCAGGCACTGAACAACTGGGGGCTTGCCCTGCAGGTAATTCTGTTTAATTTCCTGCTAAACCAATCATTTAATTGCTGGCCATTCTGGCTTTATGTTGTTATATGAGTCCAATAATTGGTGTATAGTTTCATGTTTCTTGAGTGCTTGT